TGTGTTATGTGCCTTTGGGGAGGGCTGCCACTGGTGCTGAAAGTTTAGGCTCTGAAGCAGACCAATACCTTCCCTTCTTGTCCAGTTACTTACTGTATGTGTGTGACCTTGGGCAAGTCATTTCACCTCTTTGAGCCTCACATGTCTCCATTTTGGAAGGGAGATTGTGCCAGGATATCTCCTCCCACTTAGGATTTTTGTAAGTCTTCAATGAATGGACACATGTAGAGACCTTTGTGTGTGTGTGCTTCTAATTATATTTCAAGTTCTTTCCACTTGAAAGAACTTAGGAACCCCAGGTCAAATATGCCCCTGAGCTTGGTCCACTGATGCATGGGGCTCAGGAGAATCTTGTACACATGCTTTGGTATTCACTGACGTTAAATCCCAGGATTGACGAAGCAGATATCCTTCTTCAATGGCAACTGCCAAGTCCTTTGTTGATTCCAGAGGGGGCGGAGTCCAAGTGCAAAACACTGGCATTTTTCCTTGGGATTGAGTTTTGATATGGTAGGTGCCTGCCATGTACCCCAACCTGCTGTCCTTTCCCCTCCAGTTTCAGAAGACAGCAGAAAACAATCTCTTTGAAAACACTTGATGACAATTCAGAACACAGCAACACAGGTCTCCACCAATGCACTAGGCTTTCAGACATTCTGGGTTTAGTTCAGTTGCCTGATGAGTTGATTAATGCACTCACCACGATAGGCAGGTGAGCCCATCTCCTTGAGAAAACCCACTTTATTCTTGGTAGCGTGATGGGCCACAGAGAGATGGAAAGGGCCCAAGAATTGTGAGACCACCTGGAAATACTTGTCCGGGAAGGCAATTTCATGAATGAGATCTTCCAAGCAAATGGCACCAAACTTCCCCAGGTGTTCCTCAATCACTGTGTTGCCTGTCAGCGGGATGGCCTTATTCTTGACATTGGCTTGTCCACATTTCAGGATGAGTTCCTGGACAGACTTCAGATTTTGAAATCCCCATGTCACATAAGGTTCCACTGTACGCAACATATTTATGGTTTTGAGGGGGTCACTTTGACAAAGACACCACTGAAAAGCTTCTTTAGATGAAGTCTTGCGATGGTCTTCTGCAGCAGAAAGCTCAACCCATTAATCCTTTGGTTTTGTACTACAAAGGCCAGGGAATATTCATCTGGCACTTTCAAGCCATGAGGTTTCACTTCTGGTCTTCTGATGTGCACCCTGTCACATTGCTGTCACTGAGAATCAGGTGGGAACAGTTCCAGTTGCTTAAACCTAAGACCTTTTCCTTTCTTCTGCTTCTTCTTTCCAAACGTGCCTGCTTTGCCTGGGTGCCTTTGAGAACCTGAAGACTTCCTCTTTTTCAGGAGATTTTTCTGGGACCAATGGAATCTTTTTTCTTGGCTCTTCCTCCATCATCTTTCCAACGCTGCAGCTACTGCCACATGTAGAGTTCTTAACAGTGCCTGGCACATGTGTTTCAAAAAAAAACAAATGCTAACAATTCTACCTGTGTCTACTTAGCATTATAGCAAGCCACTTACGTTCAGTATTAGGATCCTGATTTGCAATGGGAAAACTGAGGCTAAGGGAAGAGATAAAAACTGGTCTAGAGACTGCAGTCCAGCATTCCCTCTGCTACGTGGCACATAAGTGTCTAAATAAACGAAATAACAGAAAGAGCTAAGCCTTACAAAGTAGCTCTGATGGTACAGTTTGCCCTCAACTACTAAAGATCGGCAGTTCAATCTGCTATTGTAAAAACTTCAGACAAGAAAGTCTTAGAGACTAGTAGTACTCTGTAACACATGTGCTTACCATGCGTTGGAATGGACTCAAGGGTTGTGTTTTTGTTTTGCTTTTTTAAGAGCGTAAGTGGGAGAGGCCGGTTTCAGATCCAGACATGGACTTCCAGAATCCATTCTTGGAATCACCACACTAAATTTCCTTTCTTTAATGTTTAACATAAAACATAGGAGTCCTGGCATGGCACTGAGGGTTAATGCATTAGATTGCAAGGTTGGTTTGAACCATACAGTCAATGGTTCAAGCTTACTAGCTAGCTGCTCCTTGGAAACCCTATACAGGGTCTCTAAGAGTAGGAAATGACTCGATAGCACTTAATGACAACAACGTTTAACGTAAAGAAGGTATACTCAATCCTGGAGTTTCTTTTTGAAACAGTATCTACTTTGGGGTTGGAGTGAAATAGACTCTCAACCCATTCGTTAGAGGCAGCATCAATTCCTGTGGGCAGACTTTAAACTGTGAGAACAGCTTGGCATGTAGTATCTTGTTTCATCCCTACTGTGACCCTCAGCATTCTCACCAACGTTATTCTGCAGGTCAGAAACCTGAAGCAAAGAGAGTCAGTCACATCCCATGGGCTCACAGTTAGTTTACTTATGTTGTATTTGGAATTTAAATCTGGATCTGACTCTAGAATCCTTGGCTGGGCTCAAGAATCTTAAAAAAAAAAATGTTGTTTTCAATTTAAAATTTAAATTCCAGAGTTTAAATAGATAAAGTCAAATACACTGTGACTCAAAATCTCTTGGGAATAGGGTCTGGGTATTTGATTTTGAAAGCCAGAACCTGATGTGCTGCCTATACTGACAATCCCTCCCAGCTACACTGTCTCCTCCAAGTGCCAGAGCCATCTTTCTACCTGTCCATCAACCATCCCCACCTGAGCACCAGCAGCCTCAACACCTATGCAGATGGAAGATGAACTCATCCTCTTTCCCTGTTTCTTGGGGCCTGGTACCACCAGAGTTTCCCTGGGTGATGCTGATAGCAAAACACTAGAGCCTTGGTAGCATAGTGGGTTACGAGCTGGGCTGCTAACCTCAAGGTCAGCAGTTCAAATCTACCAGCCACTCCTTGGGAGAAAAATGAAGCTTTCTTCTCCTGGTAAGATTTTATAGCCTCGGAAACCCTACACAGGGCTGCTATGAGTCAGAACAGCCTTGATGGCACACCACCACCACCAGACTACTAGCTAACAGATTTGTTGGTTCAAATCTCCAACCAGAGGTGACTTGGAAGAAAATCTTTGTGAAGTGCTTTTGAAAAATCACAGCCATGGAAAAACTATGGTTCAGTTCTACTCTGCCACACATGAGGTCATGATTAGTCAGAATCAACTTGTCAGCAACCGGTTTGTTCGTCTGTTTGTTTTCTGGTATATCACCACCCATTCATCAGTGTCCCTGCCAAAATCTGAGTCATCTTCATCTCTTCCATCTCCTTTTTTCCTGCCAGTGCTACTCAAGATACATACCAAACCCAAATTCTCCTTTATCTTTGCAGCCTTCACTTCCGTTCAAATCCTCGCTATCTCTGGTTTCGTGTTTCTGGGCCTGTCTCCATTTCTGCTTGTGTATCTTCTTCATCTTTCCCTGGGCCATTTCCTATGCTCCTCCCCTGGACTCCCCATCTTGAAAATCCAGTGCACACCCTTTCTCCTGCCAGACTTAACAAACCCCAAACTACCTCATCATTCACTTCTCTGCTTAAATAACTCCCACCAGCATCATCCTCTGGCTAAAATCTACACTCCTTAGTACACCAATCCCAGTCTTTCAGCCTCTGGCTCATCTTTCAATGGCAGCCTCATCTCATACTCCTTGTTTATGCCATGTTACACTTCCCACCAGCTCCCAAACAAACTGTGTTCATCCATTCCTGTGAACATGTAATGTATGCTGCGACTCCTACCTGTCTGGGCTAGGACCCAGCTCCAATGTCACCTCTGAGAAGCCTTCCTGAAGTCCCCTGGGGGGGAGATGGGCACCACCTCATCTGTCCTTCCCCAGCACCGGGCCCATCTTCGATGACTTGATGGCACGTGTGTCCTCCTCAGGTTTTTAAACTTCTCATTCAACAATCACATATTAAATGTCAGAGCCGCAGCGGGGCTGTAGGATAATTGCTGGACTACTAACTGCAAGGTTGGTAGTTCAAACCCCCCAGCTGCTGTGAGGGAAAAAGATGAGGTTTTCTGTTCTTGTAAACACTTGCTGCTTCAGAAACCCTATGCAGGGTCACTATGAGTCAGAATGGACTCTATATAGCAATGTGTTTGGCTTTATGGCATTGCCAGGGGTGGAGCCAGTGGTAGATAGTGGTAGAGTCTTGTCTTCCATGGATTCATGGCCAGTGTGTCTCCTGTGTAGCAGGCAACCTTCTGTCAGTGGAAGCTTACATATTCCTATGATACTATGACAGACTAGGAAGAAAGACCTGGTGATCTACTTCTGAAAATCAACCAGTAAAATCCCCATGCATCACAAGGATCCAATTCACAACTGATCATTGGGATCCGGTAGGACCTGGTCACCATGGGTCAGGGGGTCACCATGAATCCACAGGTCTTGATTGCAGCTAACAGCATTGCCAGGTGTGGGTCTAGGTAGTGGGGGTATGGATGAATAAAACTGAGTTTCTGTCTTTTTAAAAAGTCTACTGAGTGTGGCAGAGAACCTGGGGAGGGTGTTTGAGAGGGCACAGCATGTGCAAAGACCTAGAAGGCAGGAATGAGTGTCAAGAGATGAGGCTAGAGAGATGAGAGCAGAGCTTGAAGGACCATGAGACACCCCCCCACACACACACACACACACAACCCATACCTCCTGAGGGCACACACCACAAACACAGTATGGGATTGGACTGGATCTGAAAGATAAAGGCAGTCACTGAAGGGTTTACATTATAGGCTCATGATTTGATCTGTGGTTCAGAAGGAGCTTCTTCAGCAGGGATCGTGTCCGCATCCTTGTTCTCAACAACAGCATCTGACACTGTGCCTGGTACACGCATAGAAGGTCCTGAAGAAATGTGGGCTGAATGAATGAATGCACCACCACGCTGGGGGCAGATGTGCCTGGGGGGTGGGGTGGATCTGATGACATTGGAGTCTCTGAGGTTTCATTCTTAGAGTGACAAAGCCTCATCCTGTTCCTGTTCCTGTCCCTGTCCCATGGGCGTGCTCCGCAGGTGTCCCAGTCAGCCATGCTGGCATTGCTGTGTTCCTGCCTGCTCCTAGCAGCCTGCGCCACCGCGGATGAGAGCGCCGTGGAGTCCAACTCCAACACTGCCGAGCAAATCCGCGACATGCATGTCAAAGTGACGGAGATGTGGCAGGAGCTCACGCAGCATGGGGCGAGGGAAAGCTGGCCGGATGCTGGGCTCCACGCCGCCTGCCATGTGCTGCCTTCCGCCTCACTGGATGCAGCGCAGCCCCAGATCACTGGCCTGGTCCTCTTCCGGCAGCTCACGCTCGGTGCCAAGCTCGAGGCCTACTTCAACCTGGAGGGCTTCTCCGCCCAAGCCAATGGCTCCAGCCGCGCTATTCATGTGCACCAGTTCGGGGACGTGAGCCAGGGCTGCGAGGCCACCGGGCCCCACTACAATCCCCTTCGAGTGCCGCACCCCATGCACCCAGGCGACTTCGGCAACTTTGTGATCCGCGACGGCAACCTTTGGAAATACCGCGCAGGCCTCGCTGCCTCGCTCACCGGCCCCCACTCGATCGTGGGTCGCGCTGTGGTGGTCCACGCGCGCGAGGACGACCTGGGTCGTGGTGGCGACCAGGCCAGCCTGGAGAATGGCAATGCGGGCCGCCGGCTGGCCTGCTGCGTGGTGGGCCTTAGTGGGCCCGAGCCGTGGGCGCGCCTGGCACAGCAGCACGCTGAACGCAGGAAGCGGCGGCGCGAGAGCGAGTGCAAGGCCGCCTGAGCGCCTGGCACTGGTGGAGCCCGGAGGCGAGCGCTCCCTCCATGCTCCTAGAGACCGTTTCTGAGTCCCGCGTGTGCAGAGACCTCCCTCTGCCTTGGGTTCCCCTCCCCCCACTCCCTGCCACCATGTGCACTGAGAACCCTTCTGCTCACAGGGGCGTCTCTCGGTTTTGAGTCTCCCCGCCCCCATCACGCATCCCGAGACAACCCACATGTGTGTCCTTACACAGTTCTATCCCCTAAGACCTCTGCATCGAAGGCCTTCCTCCTCTGTCTTGAGCCCCCACCCCCAGTGCTCCCTGAGACAACTCCCAAGCGTCCTGAGACATCTTCAATCCCGAATACCTCCTCTGTGCACTGAGATCTTCCCCTGCCTTGAGTTCCCTCCATGCACTCTCCTGTGCATCAAGAGATCCCAGTCACCCTGAGCCCTGCTCTGCCTTGAATCTCGAATCTCTCTGAAGTCTCCCCAAAGTATACTGAGACATCCTGAGCCTCTTCCTCCCACCCAGGGACCCTGAGGATCCCAGACAAGCCCCTCCCATTTACCTTTAGGTTCCTCCCAAGTACCCCCAAGGGCCACCTCTTCCCATCACACCCCTCTAGCGCCTGCCCATCCCTGCAGTCTGAGGTAGGGCCCCCCTCCCCTGCCCCCTCAGCTGTTTCCCACCACCCCGTGGAGGCCTGCTCCTTTGGGGGATGTTTTACAATCTGGTGTTGCATATTAAAAGCTCAGCATTTCAGTCCTGCACTTGGTTTATTTGTTTGGGGCTTCTCTCTGTGGCTCATCTATTTCTTGGATGCCAGTATTCCCCAAATTCCATCAGTACGGATTTTCCCTGCACCTCAGGCCCGCCCCTTATTGATAACAACATGTAACTCTGATGTGGCTCCCAAAGTGCAGAGTACCAGAATTAGGCAGGGAAGTTAAAAAACAAAACAAAATGTAGCTCCCTGGGTTCAGTACAAGAACCTTCGAATTCAAAACAGGAGGAGGAAATAGATTTGCAATCTGCCTCCCTGGTGATTCTGATGGTGGAGCCAATGGCTTGGGAGGGAATGAGATGTACCAACTCATCTTAACATGTGGGGTTTTTCACCTTTGCCTCAAAGTTCAGCCTTAAGCTTGCTTTCTAGATGGTGGAGACCAGGTCCTGGCAGGAAACATTAGAGGGAGATCTGGTGATATGTGGATTTATCCTCTTTTGGATAAAAAGGCAGGTCAAAGTAGGGGGAAACAAAGGTGGCTCATTTTGATTAAGCTTTGTTTGGGTTCAGTCTCCCTTGTTAAACATTATAATATAGCGCAAGTACTGGGCTACTAGCCATAAGGTTGGCAGTTCAAACCCACCAGCTGCTTCTCAGGAGAAATATGAGGCTTTCTGCTCCTGTAAAGGTTTATGGCCTCTGAACCCCATACAGGATGGCTTTGAGTCAGAACTGACTCGACAGCACCTAACAACAACACAACATACATGGACTAAAATACTCTTGAGGACACATCTTCATCTTAACTGAGTAACTGTATTTGTAATAGCTTGTAACCCCTGGTGGCACAGTTAACTACTTGACTACTAGCCCGAAGTTTAGCAGGTAGAATCCACTCCAAGTTTGCCTTGGTAATCTGCTCTCAAAAGGGTACAGTCTTGAGTACAGTGTTGCTCTAGTCAGAAACAACTAGATGACAATTGGTCTCGGTTTTGTTTTGGGGGGTTTGGGTTTTGATGGAGGAGACTCACTCACTTTCTAGATTCTGTGAGGCAGCGTCCCTGGGTATTGCAAATAGTTAACAGGCTCTGCTGCTAACCAAAAGGTGTAAAGTTCAAGTCTACTGAGAGACGCTGCTGAAGAAAGGCGTGGTGATCAACTTCCGGTGACAGTGTGATGGATCACAGTTCGACTCTGATACACACAGGGTCACCAAGAGTTGGAATCAACAATTGCTGTGGGTCTTTTTTTCTTCTTCTTTCTTTGAGGCAGTTCCCATTTCTTCCAGTCATGAGGCAGTGACTCAAACTGAACCTCAGCCAGAAACCTGTCCTCAGCGGTTATTTTTACCTCTAACTAGGACTTAACTTGTTATTTTAGAATCTTGCCTTGAACCCAAGTGACAACTGGAGAGAAGGGCTATTTCTTAGTGACTTTGCTCCACCAACTGGTTTGGAATATTAACATGAAGTATACAGTCCAGCCCTGAAAGGGCATTAACAACCCAAGCCTTTGAATATTAGGATCTCAAGTAGACTTGTTTGCCCAGCCCTATAATTAAAAGTTGTGAAAATGAAGCAATGTTTGCATGAGACACATGAAGTAGAGGAACAAAAGGTCACACACTTCCCCTTCTACACCACTGCCCAGATGAAAACTTCAGCACTATCTGAGAGGGTGCAGATGTCTTTTTCAGAAGGACATTGGTGCTTCTCTCTCCTAGTTTTTCTTCAGTTCGGCATCCATTTCTCTGCTGCCCTTAGCCCCCATAGAGAGAGCTGGAGAGACCCTCTTGTAGACTCCCTTCAGCTCCAGTATGCTCTGAAGCAAACTGACTTCCACCTCCATCCCCATTTCTGTTCTGTCAGTTAATAAATTGGAATGGAATTCACCAACAGTTTTAGGGGGCTCCAGTGAGCCACGAAAGAAAAAGGAAAGAGGAGACAGGAAATGGCAAACTATAGTCCCCTGCTGGTGAGGTGGTTAAAGTGCTTGTCTGCTGAAGGAAGGGTTGATGGTTTGAAGCTACCAGCTGCTCCTTGGGAAAAAGATATATCAGTCTGCTTTCGGAAAGATTCCAGCCAAGGAAATTCTATGAGGTAGCTCCCTCCACCTTGCCCAACAGGGTTGTTATGAGTTGGAACCAATTCACTGGCAATGGGTTATAAGTAAGGTAAAATAGGAGTTCCTGGGTTGCAAGTGGTATTACTAGCCAAAAGAGGCACCTCAGAAGAAAGGCCTGGTGATCTTCTTCCAAAAACGTCACGGCCCTGAAAACCCTACTCTGCAGTTCTACACATAGAGCCACCATGAAATGGAATCAACTTGATGGTAACTGGTGTTGAAAAAGGCAAAGAAACACATAGAGCATGGTGGTCAAGAGCTCAAGTTCAGATAGAAAGGCTGGTTTGAATCCCAGCTGTGCCACTGAGAAGCTGAGCAAATCACTTAACCTCTCCGAGTGTAAATTTTCTCTTCTGTAAAGTAAAGCCATTTCATTGGATTGCTTTGGTATTTGAATCAATCATATTCTTGAAAAGTGCACAGAAGGTGTATACATCTAATTAGATTTAGATGTCCGTTCTAATGAATTACAATGGTTCAAGTCAGAAAAAGGGTTCGAGAGCACGGATGTCAGTTTGAGGACTAAGGTGCACCTGACCCAAACCATGGTATTTTCAATGGCCTCATATACGTGTGAAAGTTGGGACAGTGAACAAGGGAGACCCTAGAAAAATCAATGCCTTTGAATCATGGTGTTAGAGAAGAATATTAAAAATATCACGGACTGACAGAAGAACAAACAAATCTTGTACAGCCAGAGTGCTTCTTAGAGGCCAGGATGGTAAGACTTCGTCGCTCATACTTCAGACATGATGTCAGGAGGAGCAAACTCCTGAAGAAGGACATAGTGTTTGGTAAAGTGAAGGGTCAATGAAAAAGAGGAAGGAGCCCCCATTGCCCCTAATGAGATGGACTGACACAGTGGCAGCAGTAATGGGCTCAAGGATAACAGCAGTTGTGAGGATGGCATAGGACCAGGTAGTGTCTTGTTCTGTTATGCATAGTGTTCCTATGAGTAAGATTTGACTTAACTGCACCTAGTAATAAGTAGTCAGAAAACTCGTTACCTATGGATACATTGAACTACTTTGTAAAGTAGTGGGATGTCCCTGAGTGGTGCAAAATGGTTAATGTACTTGGCTGTTAACCATAACATTGAAAGTTCGAATTCACTCAGAGGTGCCTTGGAAGAAAGTCCTGGCAATCTACGTCTAAAAAGTCAGTCATCGAAAAACTCCAAGGAGCACAGTTTACTCTGACACGCAATTGACTTAATGGCAACTGCTAACTAGTAATGTAGGGAGCGCTATACAAGTACTCCAGCAAACCTCTTAGATTTTGAAAGAAAAACTTCTGCAGGTGTTGAGCTGATAGAATACAAACACTCTGCCGTCTCAGCTCTGAGACTGACAGGAAGGGGCCGAAGGGGAAAGAAAGCTTGTGGGCCATAAAGGGCAGGCATCTGGAGCTTGGCACAGAACGTTCTGCCTGCCACCCAGCCCGCCCATTGGACCCCACTTGACCCCTTGGGACTATTTTTACTTCGTTCATCGTACAGACCTATTTTCTTAATCTTCTTATATTTGCTGTTTTGACTTCTCAGCCAGCTTGCTAATCAGTTTGCCTATTTGACTCACAGCGTTTGCATTTGTCACTGGGACTTAAACACACACTTGTTTTGATTTCTTTTTGTAAAATTAGAAGCGTTTGATGTAATGACTCTACCTAGACGCAGCTGGTAAAGTGAGAAGAATGCTCAAGTTTGCATGGTTTAAACACAATGTAGACAATAATTAGAAATGCTATCTTTAGATGTTTAGGATAAGCTTTTTCTCAGAATTGCGGTGATTTTTTTTTTTTTTTTCTTTCTGAGTGGGGCTTTTCAGTGAATATATACAGAAAAACTAAAAATGTAAGAAAATAGAGCAAATCAGCCAGTGCTTTGGTCAACTTGAAAGACTGCAGGAAATAAACCAACTGATTTTAGATCTGATGTTCTGAACTGAATGCATAAAATCTTTACATTCTCCCTATTTTTCATGACAACGATATGATTGAAAACTCTTAGGTGGCAGATGACCACTGATAAATTGCCAGAAGCAATGCTGTTCGAGTCTGCAGTGAGGATGGCAATGATGCAACTAGTAAGGACGGTTAATTATCTCTATTAGGAAAATTACCACATTTTTATTTGAGGTAACATGAAAAGGTATGCTAAGGATACATGGT